GCTGTCGAAGGCTTTCGCCCAATCGAGGGCCAGCAGTACGACCTGCCCGCCCTTCTCGGCACAAGGTCTCTCAAGAATTCGCCAGACCAGATAAAATAGCATCCGCTGTTCCGTGCTTGGACGTGAAACCGAACTAAGTGCGCCATATTCGGCTCTCAGCCCCGCCCGCTTTCAGCAGGCCAAGTAAAACTGCAGCGAAAATCTTGTAGCCAACGGCCGTCAAGGAGATGGGCCGGTACGTTTCGCACTGGGCCACGTCTCCCTTCTTGAAAATTGTTGCGACCAGCGCCTCGTGCCACTCTGCTGGAACTGCCGCGTCAGTCCAGCATTTGTTGCACAGCTCGACAGCCCACCTGCAGGCAGGCGTCCCAGCGCGGCAGATAGTCTTCCAAAACTCAGGCGGGATATCGTCTTTGCCAGACGTTTTACCCCACTTCATCCTAGCAGCCGCACCACGCACCAGGGCCACATAACGCAGCCAGCTCGTCGCCGAGGGAGTCCCCGTTCGGCGCTGCGCTTGTCGGCCGCACTGCCCATGGGACTCTGCAAAGGTACTCTGCCATTGTGTCGGCGCGCTGGTCGGAGTCAACAAGACGACCTTCCATGTCGGCTAACCGGCCCTGCTGGGCTTGCGTTCCTGTCCTCAAGGCGCGGATCGGCGCCCAGTCTCCGGAGGCGAGCTGGCTCTCTAACCAATCCGACCTGTCTGCCCAGACAGAGTCTCTCACAGCCTGGTGCAGGCGCCGCTCTTCCTGCACCGTCCCGTGCGCCCTCGCTGAGTCTCTCTGGTCTTTCAGCTGGAGTGTTCTGTCAGATATCAACGGTCGCCGCGGTCTCCTCGCGAGGGTCGGGAGAACGTCTCGGGCAGCACAGCGAAAGGTATCTGTTATACTCGACCCGAGTTGTTGGACGCTAGCGCCCCCGTGCTCGCACCCGCTGGAGCTCATGTGGTTACAGAAAGCGTCGGAGAAAGTGCCGGCAGCCATGTCGTCCCGAAGCGCACCAAGCTGTCGTCGAGGCTCGTGGGAGCCGCTGTCTTCGCGAGGGACGTCCACGTCCAGGGATGCAGTCACGAGGAAATGATGCGACGCGATCGCCCTGTGTTTGATGCCCTGTAGTCTCGTCAATCACCAGAGCCACTCCATGGACACGATCGCCAAGTCCAGCTGCCCGTAATTGTGGTATATTGGAGGGTCCGCCGGCGAGCACCCGATATCATAGTAGGTAATCTGGCGCTCCGGGGGCTCGTCGAGAACTGTGTTACCGACAGCTAGCTTGCAGGAGGTGCAAAGTTCGAGCAGGAGTTCTCTATTTGATTCTGGGTTGTGCTGCATGTGCGGGTTCCCGAAAATGAGCGGCCCCAGCACGTCCTCTTCTCCGGGGAAGCGCCTGTGTATTCTGGCATTGAAATCACCGAATAACAGCACCAGTCCGTGAGCGAAGTGGCTGCCGAGGAAGCCCGCCAACTCGGAGAAGAAAGCCTGCCGGCCGACGAATGGCTTCCCGCTGTGCGGGGCGTAGGCACTGCAGATAACGACTTTGCCCCCGCGGACCCGCAGTTTGAGGGATGCCATTCTCGAAGAGGCTTATCTGAAACCAATGATGCTGCGACGCGCCAGCGGAGAGATCACGAATCCAACTCCTTCCGTTGCTTCCAGTTCGCCCTCTGCCGTGCCAGACAAGATAAGCAGGAAACCCCCGTCTGTGATCTCATACTCGGACTTGCCCTTGTGCGTTTCCTGGAGGCAGAGAATGCTGATGTCCTCCTGCTGCATGTGCCGCTGGAGCTCTACAACCTTTGTCTCTGTAAGCCCTTCCACACTCCAAGTTCCAACTTTGAATTCCCGTCCAGAGACGGCGAGCCGGCCGCCCCGAAAAAGTTCTGCTTCATACGATCTTGTTGTGCTCGGTGTAGATTTGGTACCAAAATTTGTGCATGCAGCGTGGACAACTACAGATGCTCTGGGCGAAACTGTGGGTGAAACTGTGCTCATGTGCTGTGTTTCCCAGTGCCCTTTGGCACCGCCCTTCTGCCCCTTAGAACCCTTCATGCCCTGACCGGCCCGGGACAGCATGTCCGTGTTCTTCTGGATAAGTTTTTGTACAGCATGGTTGTTGTGCAGCTCCTCCCAGGTCCTGCAATCTCCGTGCCATTCGTATCGCATGGCGTTGTCGTCAACGTGGACCGTCACCGCCTTCTCGCCTTCAATTGTGTGCAAACACGGAGCCTCGTCGGAAATCTTCACGTGGTACTGGATCCGCCAGTCGTTTTGAGCAAACGCTTCAAGCCGAAGCAAAAGTTCCGGGCAGCACGCTCAGGAGCAGGACGATCAGCCGTCGCCCACAAATTTTTCCCTCCGCCTGGCTGGAGACCCGCCGCGCGGAGGAGGTCAACAGCGGTGTCCCTCTCCGCGGTCCCCTGGAACTCCGCGAACAGGATACCCTTGAAGTTCCCCTTGGAGTATGTGCTGAAAGGGGCCGGGCCCTTCAACACCATCAGCTTGTCCTTCAGCCACGTGGTCGCTTCCGCCATGCTGTTCAATGCGGCCAAGTTGCCAATCACGGCCGTGATGTGCCTCTTGTCCGCGGTTGCGTGCTGAACAGCGCCTTGAGGTGGAGCGGCGCCGGCTTGCCGAGAAGACTCGAGATTCTTGAGCATGTTCTCCAGCTTCTCGATCCTGACCTCTAACACGTCGAGCCTGCTCCCCACGGACCGTAGGCGCTTGTTCACAACTGCCATAAAATCGTTCAGGCGGGTGTCGAAAGCGCAGAACCCCAGGCGCAACTCCTCCACCGAGGCTGTCACGGGAGTCAGCTCCTGACGGAGTGGCGCCGCTGTGCCGAGCATCGTGACCTGCTCCTCCTGCGAGTTCCCGTGCATCTCGTACCTTCCCCAAGTGCGGCCGCACGTACGGCGAAGGAATAATTTCCTTTTCATCCTTCTCCCCCCCATCCTCCATGCGCTGGTAACGACTGTCTGCCAGTAGAGGTGTAGAAGGCGAGGCAGGACCAGGTCCCGTGCGCGCGCCGGGTAGCCCTTTGCCTGGTGGAGGGGTTTGGGACATCACAGCCTCCAACTCTCTCTCAAGGTTCAGCGGGGAGCGGCTGCCGGACATCGCTGCGCGATCGGGAAAGCAAGAACCAGACATATCTCGGTCTACCCGCTTTCGCGAGCACGGATCGCGAGCACGGACGCCCTTGGGGCCTCCCTAAATCCGCGCGCAGGGGCCGATTCTTGAGCCAACCCTCTGTGAGCAAACCCTCTGTGAGCAAACTTGCCTCGCATGGACATCAGCGTGTTTGCGTAAAGTGCGCTGGAAATGTGGTCGGCTACATTTGTACCTGGTCTCGTGCTGGTTGTAATTTGTGCGATTGTTGGGGGCATTTCGTCTGTGAAGCATGTGTCCATGTGTGCTTGTGTCAGTCGTGGAGCCAGGTGCCGCTGGTAATTGCGGGGTATTTTGTCAGAAGTTCCACTGTGCCTTTGAACTGCTGTGGTTCCATACTGTCGGACCGAGGTGTGAGATCGAGGTCGGTTCGGGGGATGTTCTTGTGTATCCTAGGGGAGGGTACTCTCGAATGAGCTTCAGTTTGGCCAGTGGTGTGTCTCATGTTATAGAATGATGCTCTTATTTCCTAGGTCCGGCTGTGTGCCTTGAATTTGTCCTGGAGGGTGTCAGTATTTGGAGTTATGGGCAAAATCATCCCTCTGCTAACAACGTAGTGCGCGTTCTTGTGGTCGTCGAGCGGTATTGTGGTCGTAGTGGGCGTCGTGCACTCGAGTGAGACAGTAGATCTCGTGACATGTGTTGCCATGTTTACCTTTTGTCTTCTCCGTCGCCGACACATAGGGTCCGTGTAGATAGGACGGAGCGTGTCATTCAGCTTGGCCCTGATGTACGCGTAGTGAGTCTTCGCATGATGGACCCAACCACCCTGGACCGATAGTACCGTTTGTCACTGTGCGTACCTTTGTTCTTAACGACGTCGGTTGGTTTTCCTCCTATTGCGACTGGAGGCTCTTGTTGTGAGAGTGTCGTTTTAGTGAGCAATGAGTGTAAGTGTCTTGCCATCGCCTGTGGAGCTGCCGCGGCCAGATCGTCGCAGAGTCCTTCTGGTCCGGTAGCCCGTTCCCTGTCTTCTTTGGCGAGTTTGGTCACAAGCTTTTCTCTTGGTATCTCGGTTTCGGGGTTGACGTCGTCGCCGCATGTGCCGTGCAGTATCTTGTTTTGGATATTGTATCGTTACATCATGTTGGTCCAGTCCATTGTGTGTGCCTTTTCTATCTTGGCGAAGTGGTTCATCTTCGGTTGTCCTCACTGCGAGTCGTCGCGGGACAGCTGCCCGTGCTCGTCTCAGCGTATTGGGGCAACATGCGGTGTTTGACATTGTTGTGTCTTGTTGCTCGCAGTAGCTGGTGTGTTCGATGCCACGTCTTTCTCGTGTTGCCCTTCTTGGCTGCGTCGGCCAGTTCCGTAGCGTCATGATGTTCCAATCTATTTTAGCTATGACCACCAGACATAATTTCGAGCACCGAAAGGTGTCATACTTGGAATGTTTTCACGTGCCGGGCACTGGGAAGCGTTACTCGTTCGGCCCTTCGCCAGCGTGTCGGGCAGAGATCGTTTAGATACTTCTCGGGGTGCTCGAAATGCTTCTGGATTGTGGTCTTTAAGTACGAGGGGAACAACATAACCGCAGCTTTTGTTTTCTAGTACAAGCATATGTCCTTATCCAATGCTTCTACGAGCGCGAGCTTAGTGACAGCGAAGAAATATCCCGTCATTTGTTAGAGGGCTTGCGTTGTCGGCTTTCACAGGCAGTAGTCTCGACTGGCATGCATTAATGTTGTGGGCTCTTTGAACCACGTAGCCTCGGAGTCGATGTTGTGGCACTGCTGCATGTGGAACGAGAACTTTCCGAATTCGTGGTCTCCGCTGGCATGGTCTCTGCAGGCAAGATGCGCGTGTCTACGTAGTCGGGTGAGCCGCATTGTCTTCATGGGTAGCTCGCCCTTGTTCGAGGTCATCTCTGTCTTCTGGTAGATTTCTTCCGCTGCGGGAATTCTGAACTTGGCTGAGGAGGTGAAAGGTCCGCTGACACCTGTGTCCCAGGGAGGTAGGTGTTGTGCTTCCAGTAGCTTTCCACATTTTGTTGCAGTGCCCACTTAGTCGTGGCGGAAGCCGTCGTGCACTTGGCGGGTGGCATAGATCTTACCCGCAAAGACACCGATTGCTGATCGGTGGTTCTCCTTGTCCGTCATCTTTTCGTAGTCCTTCTGGGTAGCGCACTCCACCGAACATTGGAACTGTTGTCCTCAAACTATGTGTTAGTCGATCTTGTGGTGTGGCCCTTCATCCGCCGATGATCATGTATATCCTTGTTTGTGTGGTAGAAGTTTGTTCACCCCATACGTGTTCGTCTGGGCGAGCACGTTGTGCATGTACGTACAATTTCGGCCTCCTCCTCCTCCTCCTCGTGCCATCTTTCGTCTGGCTACCTACCCTGCGGCCCTCCTCCCTCCCCCTCCTCCTCGACCTCTCGGCCGCGAAGTCGTCCTGACGTTGCCATCTCCTTCTTCCTTCTCCTCCTCGACCACCCCATCGGGATGGAACACCCATCTCGAAGACAAAAGAAATCTCAGAGGCCGTGGTCGGCCTGCGCGAGCATTTCCGCGGCGGGCGCTCCACCCCGACCCGCGGGGGCGCCCCCGACCGCGAAGGTGCTCCGCTGGACGCGGCGGACGCGGAGGTGGCCGGGCGCTGCGTCGGGGGTTCGTAGAGCGGGGGAGTATCCCAAGGTGGGGCCAGGGAGCATGCACAGCTGGATGCTCACATGCCCTTCGTGCATTTCCTCGAACCCCATTGGCGGGGCCCAAGAGGGGCACGACGGGTGCACGTCAAGTTGCCCGCAGATTCTCGCCCCCCCATTGAGCAGCGGTCGAGGTGGCCACGATCGCGGCGTTCCGCAGCGAGGCAGCGGCTGCGCGCGACGACATGCTCGACGGCCTGTCGCGCCTGCGGCGCGACCTTGAGGTGCCCTGAGATCCTGGCGCCGCAATTTTTGTCACACCCAGCGTTTTCGCCCCTTTTCGGGCCCTGGGACCATCACAGATCGACCCGGCTCGAAAAATGCAGCAGAAAGATGACTTTTCACGATGTCGCAGTTTTTCGTGACGTCGGACCTTTGTGTCACATGTTCGCTTGGGGGGCCTTCCCGGGGCCCACCGCGCAGGTCGAGTTCGGGCATAGGTCGATTATGGTTCGACGATGGGTCGTCTCGAGTTCGATTCAAGTTCGACTCGAGTGTCGACGCAGCATCGACGCATGAGCGGAGCGAGTGGCTCCAGTCGGCGGCGAGCCCAAGGGGGAAGTGAGAGGGCGCTGGCCTTCTCAGAAGGCGGCTGGGGTCCTCATAAGCCCTCTGGCCTTCTGAGAAGCCGCCTGTAACTTTGGAGAAGTTTGCAAGGCTTCTCAAAATGTGCGATGACCTCCGAGAACCGCCGCTTTCCGAGAAGGCCTCCCCCCCCTCTCTATCCCGCCTTGGAATCGTCGCCGATTCAGGAAGGTCCCCGGAACGAGCCTTAGATGGAGGCTCGTTCTAGGGGCCATCATGTGCGTCTGCTAAGCAGTCCTGGGGCCGCTACTAAACAGCCCTGCCCTGCTCGATTCCCTCTCGAAGCGCGTGTAATAGTTGAATCACCGCTAAGATTGCTTGGGGGATTGGCGGGTTCCAGGTGGTTTTCAAGGTGGGTTCTCTCTGGCCAATCCCCTAGCTTTTTAATTGATCTGCAAGCGCCCTAAGCGGCTCATTGGGGGCAAAGATCTGGGCTAAGAGGGTGGGGCCAACTCAGCAGAGTTACAACAACCCACTCACGCAAGTCTGGGCATATGTGATCCATTGATGTGTTAGGCCAGGTTAGGCATAACCCATACCAGCATCCACATACAACCCTTATCCCCTCAGCAGCCTTTGGCGGTGATCCAAGTAAAGGCTTCGCTTGTCGGGGTGCTTACGGCGGGGGCGTTTGTTCAGAAATGTGCCCAGGAAGCTTCAGACCCTGGGGAAAGGTCTTTGTCTGATGAGGTCGGCGGTGGAATCCATGGCCAAGCCTCAGCTGATGTCCCATTGGCTTCGAGACACTGGATTCCTTGTCCAAGGTTTCTTTATCCAATGCCCTCGCCGTACATCGCAACCCGAGCGGTGACCGAAGCAAAGGGCTTCGCTTGCCAGGGCGCCTGTCATGGGGGTGGTGTTCCGGCCCTCGAGGTGCACCGTAGGGGCGCCGAGCCGCCACAGCCCGAGGCGGCCATGCCGCGGCTGGAGGCGGCCGTGGCCGCGGCCCAGCTACGACGCGCGCGGTCGCCAGAGCGGTGGCAGCCGCACGCTGCCGACGGCGCGCCGGCGCCCAGCGCCTCTGGGGGCTCCGAGGGCCCGTCCTTCGAGGTCGAGTGGTAAGGCAGAGCTCCCACACACCCTCGGGTCATGAACAAAATCTCGACGAGGGGTTTTCTCAGCTGTTTTCGGTCTCCTGGGGCCCTCGCCGGACCCCGTGACCGTCAAAAACGATTCAGGTCGAGACCTCTGGGGGTCGAGGTGGTGAAGAGAGCATGACGTTTGGGGTCTGGGATCCTCGCGTTTCTTTTGTTTCGATCCGGGCGCTTTTGCCTCGTGTCTGGCCCTGGGGCCATCACAGATCGGTCACGCTCGAAAACTGCACTCCGCCGGCCCATGTTGTCTCGCCGCTGTCGTTTGTCGGGATGTTGTGTCAATGCGGTGCGGTTCGGCGGCTGCCATTGTTCCGAGGCGGTGGGTGGCGGGTCAGAGGCCTCACGGATGTTGGTTGGGCTCTCGTGGTTGGCCTCTCAGGGGCCTTTTGGGAGGTATTTTTGAGGCTTCTTAGTGGCCGTGTTGGGGCCTCGTGGGGCCTCTTGGGGGCCTCTTGGAGCTTCTTGGGGTGCTTTTTGGGGGGCCACTTGGGGTCTCTTGGGGGCCTCTTGGGGCCTGCTGGGGGCCTCTTGGGACTGAAGGCTAGACTTTTCGGTGTCTGGTCACCTCCCTGGGCCCATCTTGGGACCGTTTTGGATCTCTCTTTCACTGTCTTGGGCGCCTCTTGGGCTGTCTTGGGGCCATCTTGGGCCGTCTTGGGGCTGTCTTGGGGTCCTCTTGGACCCTCTTGGGGCGATCGTGGGAGCCTCTTGGGCCATCTTGGAGCGTCGGGAAGCCGAAAAAGGAGAAGACCCAACATGAGTCCAAAACCACCGGAAATCAATGAGTTGTGCCTCTTGGGGCCCTCTTGGGAGTGCTTTTGGAGGCCTTTGGGGGTGTCTGGAGGCCATGGTGGGCGTCTTGGAACGATCTTCTGGCATCGTCGGCCGATCGTTCGAGGACCCCAAGGGCTCTTGGACCGTCTGGGCGCTCTCTTGAGGCCGTCTTGGGCGCCTCTTGGGCCGTCTGGCGAGCCCCCAGTATCTCTGACGGGCACTTGCCGGGGCCTTGCTGGGGAGTTGCCGGGACCTTGATGGAGTACTTGTCGCGTCGGGGCCCCCAGGGGCCGCCTCGCGCGCGCGCGAACTTGTTATATTTTTAACCTCGGCACCGGGGATCTTAGCACGCCCCTGGCCCGTTGGGCTGGCGATTTTTTTCTCGCCGTCGGATCTCAGGGAAGGCTTCGGGTGGCGACAGATAGGCCCCCCAGGTGGTCCCGGCTGTATTCAGCATGCCCCTAGAGGAGCCCGGGGCGGTCTCGACACCCTGGCGTCGCCTCCGGCAGCGTCCTGGGGGGCTCCGCGCCCAAGGGTTGGGGCGTTGAGAACGCCCCAGGCTACTCGGGGGGCCTGTCGACTGCAGAATTGGTGTGCCCAGATGTTTGTTGTCGAATCTGCAACAAATACATGGGATGTTCGTAGATCTAAGAATACTATAGACGTACTTGTAGTGGACTCGACGAGAAAATCAATTCTGGGGTAGATCAAATCTGTAGCCGGTTTCCTACTCGATCTATCTGCGGGGGCTGTCTGTGAGTGCGACCCGAAGCCTCACCCAAGGTCGAGATCGCGCAGCTCCGGGCCAGCCTTTCCCTGCTGGGCGCTCGCGTTGCGGCGCTGGAGCGGTCCTCGGAGCGGATGCTGCTGGCCGGCGCGCAGGGGGGCGACATCGACGCCACGCTGCGGGACCCGCTGGCCACGCATGTGGTCTTCGGCGCGGGGGAGCACGCGCTGGCGAGGGCGGAAGGCGCCGGCAGCGTGGTCTCGCGGGGCGAGCTGTGCGCCTTGATCGCCGACGAGGTGCGCTCTCACACCGAGCGGGTGGCTGGCCATCTGCGCGCGGACGCCATGGCGCACAACGTGGAGCTCCGGGCCGACTTCGCACGTCGCCTGGAGGTGGTGGAGGAGGAGCTCCACAGCGCCGCGGCCCGGAGGCCCCACGGGGTGGACGCCGCCGCGAGCCTCCAGCCGCAGAGGCAGCACGGGGCCGGCGGCGCCGACGAGCCGTGGTCCGCGCGCGCGGCAGAGGAGCGGCGTGCCCAGCTCGGGGAGGACCCTTTGATCTCGTGGGACCTCAAGCTGAGCCTGGAGCGCCTCGTTGAGAGGGTCAGCGAGACCGCGGGCGGGACCCCCACGGTGGCCCCCGCCGTGGCGACGCCCTCCGCGTCGACGCCCTGCGCGACGGGGCACGGCGAGCTCGGCGGCTCCTTCCGAGGACAGCACATCCCGCCCCCACCCCCAGCCAGGGCCCCCACTCCCGACCATGCGATCCAGGGGGTCCTGGCTGGGGGGGGGGGGCTCCTTTGCCCCCAAGAGAGCCCCCCAAAAAACACCCCCACCCCCAGCCATGAGCCTCTGGCTTGGATCACCACGTCGGGAGTTGGGGTTCTCGCTGCGGATGGGGGCGGGTTGTGCTGTCCTCGCCTTCGTTGTGCAGCCGGCGGGCGTCTCGGCGCCGCAGGGCGGCTCACCGGCCGCCGCCTGCGTGCAAACCACGCCGTTCCTCGGCGGCCGCCCGGCTCCGGCGGTGGGCCTGCCGGTCGCAGGCGCCCTGCGTGCCTGGCCCGTCGTGCCGGGGGCCGCGGTCGCGTCGTACCCCGGCGCCGCGCCCGCCCCGTCGCTGCCCATCGCGGTGACGGCGGTCATCGATTAACGAATAATGAGAGAAACATTGGCTTTTGCAGTTCCGCGCGGGTATCGTGGATCGGCGCTGAATCCCCCTCCCTTGCGAGCGGAGGGCGCCTGGGACGGGCCGGAGGCGCTGCCAGGGGGCTCCAGCGCCAATCCGAGAAATCCGCACGGAACTCCGAAAGTTTCTGTTCAATCGTTGGTTTCTGTCATTATTTGTTCGCCGAGGTCACGCCGACGCTGGCGCAGCACGTCGTTGCGCTGCCTGCTCCCAGGGCTGGCGCCTACGCGATGCCGCCGGCGCCGCAGTCCCCGCGGGCGGGTGTGCGCAGGTTGGGTGTTGCTAGAAGTGCCCCTGGCCCAAGGTGCCCCCAGCGTTTCGCGCTATTTTGGGAGACCCTGGGGCGCCCATGGGCCTCGTGAGGGGTGGTCTGGAGTCTGGAGGCCGTGGGGGCCTCCTTGGAAATCCTGGGGGTGCCCTGGGCCAGGGGCACTTCTGGCAACACCCGAGGAGGGAGGAGGAGGAGGGCGCCGCGACGCGGAGCCTTCTGGGCAGAGACGCGCCCGGGCTCTGCAGCTCCCTCGACCCAGAGGCGCAGAGGGTCCAGGTGGTAGACTGCGAGGCGGATGCGCTCAGCGCGTCCATCCGCTCCACCCGGGCGCCAGACCTCCTCGAGTCCAAGGATCAGTATTATTGTTCGCCACAATGGGAGCGGGCCCTGAGGGGAATGGATGATTATCGAGGCTTTTCACTGTGTTCGGGCTCTCGGGGCTCTCCCCGGGCCCCGGGCCCGTCAGAAAACAATTCGGGATGAAGGACTCGTCCTAGGTCGAAGGCGCCAGGGTCCAGGACCCTCTTCCTTGGGGACCCGTCTCTTCCATGCTCCATGCTACATCGCTTATCTCAGGGACCCCACCATCCCACCAGCCCACTTGGGAACAGGCCCCTCGAGACACGAAGGGCACAGCCCATGTATGACCATGGGGGGATAAGATCGGCCAGTGGGGCCCAGGCCACGCCAGTGGGGATGGGGGGATCGGTCCAACGATGCTCAAAGAGGACCTGTTCCAGAGGTGCCTGCAGGAGCTGAAGGAGGAGAACGACGCACTGCGCCTGGGCAACTCGCTGGACCGCGCCGAGCTCCTCGCGCGCCCCGCGGGCGTCTCCACGACGCCGGTGGGCCAGGCGCCCTCACCGCAGCCGGTGGTGGTCCGCAGCCACTCGCCCCGGGCGCGCTCGCCCGCCGCGCCGCAGCCGGTGGTGGTCGTGCATCCCGAAGAAGAAACAGCTGCACAGCCATACATTGTCGGAGGTCCGCTCGGATGTCGTGGACCTGCCCTGGACCCCCCATGGCGGCGCCCCCGCAGCCGTCCCTGGCGCGATCCGCGCAGCCAGCGTAGGGGGGTCACAGCGCCAGTCCGAGAGATCCGAGCGGGGCTCCAAACGTTTAGGCCTTCGGCTTGGCGTTGGAAGGATAGCATGCGATGTGGCGCCGCCAGCCCGCTTATTACACGCTGCCCTCCACCTTGAGGATAGCGTGCACTGAAGCACTGGCAGGAGGATGGTGTGCACAGAACTAGAGCCCTCGCAGGGGGGTTCGCCTCACAGAGATGGTCTGCTCTTCGGAGATCGATGTTGCACGCTGTTCAAGGGAGGAACATCCACCCCGACCCACAAAACTGGCGTTTGCAAAACAATGCCCTGGGCGTTACCAAACAGCCCTGCCCTGTTCCATCCCTTCAGCAGGTGCGTTTACTACAGGGCTTCGTTCGTGGGGGCGTGATTTTTGAGGATGGTTCTTCTGCCCTGGCCAACCGCATGCTTGTGCCATTCTTTCTTCTTCTGGCACCACCAGCCGCGAGCGTCCTCCCCCGTGCGCGGCGTGGCCTCCGCGCCGCATGGGCAGCTCGTTCGGCAGAGGAGCCCCTCGCCGCTGCGGGCAGGCGCCTGGCACGGCTCCTGACGATCTTCGAGCGCCCTGCGCTGGCCGCCTGCCGGCTGGGCCCCGACGGACTGCGCAGAATGTGGCAGCACGCAGAGTCCTGCAGCTTCGGATGTGGGTGTGGGTCGCGGGGTCGCGGGACGGGTCGCGGGTGCGTTGCGGGGTGGGTCGCTCCGTGAGTCGCGGGGTGGGGTGGGTCGCGCGGTCACGGGGTGGGGTCGTTGCGTGAGTCGCGGGGTCGCGGATCAGAGTGGGGTGCGTCGGGGTGGGTCGCGGGCGGGTCGTGGTGTGGGTCGCGGGGTTGGTCGCGGGTGGGTTGGCCGCGGGGGGTCGCAGGCGGCGAGGACGATAAAAGCAACACTAATAATACGTGTGTGCGTTCTGAACTGCTCGCGTATCATTCAACCTGTATATCCCAAGCCCTCGATACCAGCCCCCTTCGTCTTTGATCGTACCCCTCTTGGGAGTAGATCGCCCTTGCCTGCCGCGTGTATTTGGCTCAGCCCCTAATGCAGGAAGAGGGAGAGAGGAAGACACATAGCGAGGAGGAACGGAGTGCGGGACGGGAGGGGGAGAAGGATGGAGCACGAGAGAGATCAGCAGGAGCGGGTTTGAGAGCAGGAAAACTAACGGCAGAACCGCACGGGCGGGTCGGGCGGGCTGATTCTGACGGTCGAGCCGGGCGGGCGGGCCCAGACGGCCTGGTGGAATGGACGGGCCGTTGAAGCGTCAGCCTTGCACACGTTGGAGGAAGTCTTTAGTGATAGCGCGATTCAAAAGTAAATCGTCGGGAAGGGCAAAGCAAGAGTGTGAACCTTAGTGTCGACGGCGCGGCGTCTGAAAACACCGAAGAACGTCCCATGCGAGAGCGCGATTTCTGGGCTGATTGCAAGGAAGTCCCGAGGGAGATCGCGATCTTTCACACAGTGTGGGGCAGTATCAGGTGGGAACGGTGGCTGCTGTATTTCGGGAGCCAGCAACCGAGACTGAGGTGCGCGCACGAGTATTTTTCCCCCACCCTCCTGCGTTGGGTTCTCGTTTTGAACAGAGCACTGCGGTCTCCACGTCCCGCCCCCCTCCTCCTCTCTTCGCTCCTCCTCTCATTCAAGGGCAGAAAAAACGCCCCTACTCTGGTTTACGAGGCGCTGTGCGCTGAAACTCCTGTGGGCTGAAAAAGGATAAACCCTGCGTGAAGTGCCGCGTCCTGGCGGCTCTAGGCTGTGGGGGTTTCCAGGAGGTTTACAGACCACGCACTTGTAACCCAGGGTATTGCCGTTTTTTCATCTCGAGACTCATCGCACCTCCTCTCTTCCCTCCTCTCCTCTCTTGCCGTCGGCAGAGCCTCGGCGCTGAGGACCTCGCCATCCCTGGGGGGCTGCGATCGGCGAAACAAATCACCACTTTCGGGGGTTGCTGGGGGGCCAGCAATGTGGGTATTCGCCGCAGATTCAAGTTAGACTTCGCCATCCCTGGGGCGCTGCGATCTGCAAAACTGTCGCCACTTTCGAGTGCTGCTGGGGGGGCAGCATCGTGAGCACTCGCCGCAGACTCAGATTAGACCTCGCCATCCCTGGGGCGCTGCGATCTGCGAACCTGTCGCCAGTTTCGAGGGCTGGTGGGGGGTCCAGCGGAGTGACCTCGCCGTCTCTGGGGGGCTGCGAGCTTCGAAACAGTCGCCATTTCCGAGGGCTGCTGGGGGATCCAGCGGGGTGACGTCCAACCCAGATTCAAATTAAGCCTCGTCATCCCTTGGGGGGGCTGCGATCTGCGAATCTGCCGCCACTTTCGAGGGCTGCTGGGGGGTTCAGCGGAGTGACGCCCCACGGAAATTCACAGTAGACCTTGCCATCCCTGGGGTGGCTGCGATCTCGCAAATTGCACCACCTCGGGGGGGCTGCGATCTGCGAAACTGTTGGATTCAGACTCGACCTCGCAATCTCTAGGGGGCCTGCGATCTGAGAAACTGTCGCTACTTTCGAGGACTGCTGGGGGTCCAGCGGGGTGACGCCCCACGCAGATTCAACTTAGACCTCGCCATCCCTGGGGGGCTGCGATCTGCGAAACTGTCGCAGCTTTCGAGGGCTGCTGGGTGGTCCAGCGGAGCAACGTCTTACCCAGATTCAAACTAGACCTCGCCATCCCTGGGGGGCTGCGATCTGTGAGACTGTGGCCACTTCCGGGGGCAGTGGAGTGACTTCCTACCCACGTTCAGATTAAACCTCGCCGTCCTTGGGGGGCTGCGATCTGCAACACTGTCGCTAGTTTCGAGGGCTGCTGGGGGTTCCAGCGGAGTGATTGCCTACGCAGGCTCAGACTGGACCTCGTCATCCCCGTGGGACTGCGATACGCGAGACTGTCGCCAGTTTCGAGGGCTGCGGGGGGGTTCAGCGGAATGACGCCATACGGGTGCGATCTGTGAAAGAGTCGCCACTTTTGAGGGCTCCTGGGGGTCCAGCGGGGCGTTGTCGCGGGCCGCCCGCGGACCTGGCCGCGCGCTTTCGAGCGTTTAGCTCCCGGACTGAAAAGTGCAGGAAGCAAGCAGGGAAGCTGGCCGGCGAGCTAAGCCTCGCCCGCTTCTTGCGCAAGCTTCGAGCGCCGCGGCGGCATGGCGCAGGCAGCACTGCATCTTTAGTGTGCCACCGACAAGATCAACACTCTTCGGTCTCCTCCCGTCACTTTCGTCGTCGTCTTCTGCCCCCTGCCACCTTCCCTTTGCTGCTGCCGCGCTGACGGGTCGCCCCCCCGCACGCCCTCCTCCTGCCTTTCGTTCCCGCCTTCATGTCCTCCTTACGCCTGGGCCTTCGCTCCTCGTCTTTCTGTTGTTGTCCTGTGAATCGTGCCACGTGAGCGCAGCGCCTGCGTTGTCATTATCCTGGCAAGTTTGGGTCAACTCCTCTTGTCACTTGATGCAAATTGGTTGGGTACGCCGCAAGGTGATTGTGTTAACAGCCATATGCGAGTTTCGGGGGGGGGACGCGTCAGTTGGAAAACAGATGTGCGCCACAAGGGGGTTGGTCAATAATGATTATTCGGCAGACGAACAGCAACAATCGCTTCCACAACGGAAGCCGACTTCAGTCACACACCCAGGGACGGTGGAAGTCGGCCACGCGCAAAAGGGGGGTAAGGGAAGCGGGGAAGGCTTCTTAGAAACCGTCTCTTTCTAAGAAGCCCCCCCCATCCCCCTACCCCCTCCTGCGTGCCGCCAAGTAAGACCGCTCCCCCCCCCCCCCCTGACGATCGAATTGGTTACAGAAAGAACGGGGACACAGACAGACGGCAGTTATTGTCCATGTGGAACAGGGCTCGCTGTCGGTGCCGCCGCGGCCGTTGCCCGTGAGAGGTAGAAGGCAACATGCACAGCAGTGGCCGTTGGTCTTGGACAGTTTTTGCTGTGTAGCTGCTTGGTGACTTGGTGTCGAACCCATTTGTCTTGGCATCGCTCGGACGTGTTCGGCGAGGGCCATCGAGGAGCATCGTGAAACATCTTGCGAACAACACCCACAAAACCGACAAATGCGCGGGGATTGGACGTCCGAGCGATGACAAGTTGAACCGCACCTATTTTTGGCGTGTCCAGTCCCTTGCCGTCATTGTTTGCCCCCACAGCGACCCACTCCGGGTATACCCAGACCCCTCCGGGGGCCTCGACCCACTCCCCAAGACGGGCTTCTCATTCTGCGAGCCATTGTTCGACAGCCCACGGGGCCCGGCGTGGGCCCCCAGTGGCCGGAAATGGCAAACGACTTCCTTCGCGACGCGAGAGTTCTGCGGACGGCCCGCTTGGAGTGCAGACGGGCGCGCGCACGTTGGCGCACGACGACGACCCGAACCGCCTTGCTGGAGAAGAAAGAAAAGCCTCCCGTCAACCC